ACCCTCAAACAAACATATGACGTTTCTCGTGGAAAAAAATCGATATGCGAGGCTTCCCTTACGAGTTATTTGCTGGGCAATAATATTTTAAACTAGAATTCGTTTTCCGCCTAGTGTTTCTATTGCTGATATATATATATATATTATTACGAAATTAAAACTTTTGTTTTATTTGAGATGGAATAAAAAAATCAGCTACCGTTGTCGATTCGATAGAGGTTTAATTTTTCAGCCGATTATTAATTTTGCATTTTTTCATTGATTCTCAACCTGCATTTTTTACGTATTCTAATTTTCGAAGCCATAAGCCGTGGCTGATGATATGGGGCCTCTAACTGTCTGGGGTTTTTTTGCGTGGTAAAGCTGAATAGACCATTCCCCCAATTAATCAAAATTTTGAACTCAACAAGTTTAGACAAAAATTTGATCACAGCTTGAAAGAGCATCACAAAATTAGTAATATTCCAAAGTTTCGTTGCAAAATGTTGTAAAATGCGGATAATATAGCCTTGCAAAGTTTGCAATTTTTAGTCATTTTAGATTCCAAACGGGAAATGGTTACCACTTTTGTGCGTAATCCAAAATGACTGAAAATTACAAACTTCGCAAGGCTATATTATCCGCATTTTACAACATTTTGCAACGAAACTTTGGAATATTACTAATTTTGTGATGTTCTTTCAAGCTATGATTAATTTTTTGTTTAGGCTAGTTAAGATCAAAACTTTGGAAAAGTGGTAACCATTTCCCGTTTGTAATCTAAAATGACTGAAAATTGCAAATTTCGCAAGGCTATATTATGCGCATTTTACAACATTTCGCAACAAAACTTTGGACTATTACTAATTTTGTCATGCTCTTTCATGCTATGATGTAATTTTGTTTAGACTTGTTAAACCAAAATTTTGGTTAATTGGGAAATGGTCCATTGAAACCTATAAATGAAATGGGAAATTTTTTATATTCTACACACCTTTGGGGCTCATGGTCAGGACGCAATATTTCTGCTTGCAATCTCTACGCCAATTGTTAGCGACAATATTACTTATATACAAAGGTTTTTTATCGTCCAGGGCTTCCACGTCTATGTCTCCCAATGTTAATGCTCGACTTCCAACTTTGATTTTCTTTTTAGGGTCAATGACAGGTATATCTGGCGGGCAGGGGCAACAGCAACAACAGTGCCCTCCAGGAAAACAATCGTAGTAATAGCAACTCTCTAAGGAACAGTCATAACAGTAGCCAGGCTCAGGGTTTTCTTTATGGTAAAATGCCTTCTGTAATCTCCACCTGTAGGAAAAAATTCCAAGTAGAACGAGTAACTGTTCTTTTCATCGTTAGAGAAACGAAAATAAACTCGGGAAAGGGGGGAGGGTAAAGCACTTTTATCCTGCAGTTAATTTGACTATAGTTTTGCTAAATCGATTATGCTAAACCTGCCGGAAAAGTGCAGGCTATGTTGTCCGCGCGGGTATTCTCCTCTTGGAAAATATTTAAATCTAGAGTTTCTGAGGCAGGCTTTGAAGTGCCATTTTCTGTGTCTTGGACGTCTTACTGCATAGGGTCAGGATAATCATAAATAAAACAAATTTCAAAATAAAAATCATAAATAAAAAAAACTTCAAAACTAAATTTAAGTCCCCATTATGTAAACCTAGCGTTTGAAAACATTTTTGGGACCTCCCCCCTCCCCAGAATTTTCCAGCAAAATTTTTTGGTTTCTGGAAAAAAAATTTTTGAGGGGCCCCCCAAATAAGAAGGGCCCAAATTTTTATTTCGCACCTCCCCCCCCCCTCCCCAGCCAAAAACTACGTGGCACGGCCCTGACCTAACCAGGAACAGCTAATACGAAAAGGGTTGCAGGTTCAAATCGTGCCAGGGACCTAAAGTTGCATTCACATTTGTTTCAGGTTAGGTCTAGTAAATGCATATAAAAAACTAGTTTCATATAAATTTCCGCTCGATAATTCCATCTACAATTCAACTATTATTTAATCGCGTCAGATGCCAACAAATCTTATTATTATATATCAATAGTCAAAGTCGCATTTTTCTAGTGTTTTATTGGTTGAGAGCATATCACGTGAGAGTGACGAAATTAGGCTGTCTCCCTCGCAACAGCGCGAGAGGAAGATAATACGTTATCGACCGGCAAATAACAAAAAAAAATCACGTGCGCCATCACGTGAAGATGCGACCTTTGGACATGCCTAGTACGTAATTAAAACTTTCGCTTTAAGTAAGGCCACATAAAAAAAATTACTTGTTTAGCGTCCACCCATTTTAATTTTTCTAGGTCGGGCGGACGGATTTTTTTTTTTTTTTTTTGTAAAATGCAACACAAAATTCTGCTAAATGCAGGAAATCCAGTATATTACCACAGCCAAAACTCACTTTAATTCTTTCAAAATCCGTTCATGTTTTTTAACTTCCCGTTCATGTTTTTAATAAAACAGAAAATTACCGTTTGGCGGTCACGCGCGAACACTTTAGCTGCGAACAGGCATATATATTCTGGGAAGGAAACTTTGTGTAAACGTATTACATAGCTCCCAAAAGAATAAAATCACCATTTTTTCAAGTAAAACGGTCTTTCTTATAGAGAGTTTTTCCACTAAACTCGGACAAATTAAAAAAAAAAAAAAAAAAAAATTGGAGGTCGGGGACTTTTATCAGGTCGGGCGGGGACGCTAAACAAGTAATTTTTTTTATGTGGCCTAACTGCAGTGTAGCCAGTGTTTAATATAACGTTTTAACAATAAAATATTTCATGTATTTACGTTCATTTGTTCTTTAATTTGTTGTTTCTTTGACTATTGATATATAATAAAACACTTATTTACGGAGACCTCGGGAAAGCAGTGTGTTTTGTGGACCCTCGACCGTCGATGTTTCCCTCGGCTTCGCCTCGGGAAACATCGACGGTCTCGGGTTAGCCTGCAAACAGGCTCACTGGGAGAAAGGTGAGCCTGCACGGAACCATGCGTTTTATTCAATCATCCCTTTTCGCATCTGCTAAACGCTAACCAATCAGCGTTGACTGCGATAAATAAACTGTCAACTGTCAAATTGACGCAAGGCGTGTACATTGTGCAACATGAACAATAATACAAAACATTAGCGGGCCGCACAATATATTACTCGGAAAAATATAGAATTCAAATATTAAATAGATATTGTCGTAGGTTCCCAGCGCAGCGCCGCCAATTCATTCAACTTTAAATATACTTCATGTAATATATCAGTATTGTGATTGACGTAATTCATGTTAAATCGTAAATAAGTCTTTGTATGTGTAAATTGATACGTCACAGTGACACATTGTAATTTGGTAGGGTAATCAAATAGCTAGGTAGTGATTGAATGTCATTGTTGCTGTCAGATCGTAGCGAGACAATCGGAATGTTTAACAGTCTAAAACTCACGTTGTAAATAGTATACTTTCACATATTACAATCAATACAATTATAAAATACAGTCCCTTGAGCGTTTACTGAATGAACCAGACGGTGGAATCACAAGTTCCGCAACACAGTGGTCCGATCGAGCCGGATTGTTAATATTGTGAAGAAAGGACGCGCAAATAGTCAACATTTGCGTCGCGGTCGAGAATAGAGTTGCGTGAGGTTTCGAGACTTGAATCGTCAGATGGAAGATCTAGTCAAGAAGAAACGAGTGAGAGGAGGCCACAGATCGTCAGCTAAAAAGCTTGTGGGGAAGATAGTTGAAAGGCTTCAAAGTGAGAGCCCAGACAAAGACATACTATGGTTGCGACAGAGCCAAACGAACTTGAAAGAAAAAATCAAGACGATCAGACAATTCGACGAACAAATAATCGACATAATCAGCGCATCGAAAGAGGAAGACGTCGATGAACTTGTAACGCAAGAAATTGAAGACTCAGACAACGCGATAGCGGAACTGGAAAGAATATTACTCGAGCTCGAGGATGAATTATGTAAATTGAGACAAAGCACGCCATTGTCAGTGTCGACAACGCAGAACGCCGCGGATGCAAGCCTTAATCAGAGTCATTTGTCAACCTCCAGCGATATGTCAGTCGGTAAAATCGTTCGAGCTAAGCTCCCGAAACTTGAACTCAGAAAGTTTAACGGAAAGATTTGCGAATGGCAGGAGTTTTGGGACAGCTTTTCAAGTTCAATCGATAACAATGAGCAGTTGTCTGATGTCGATAAATTTGCGTATTTACGCGGTCTGTTGGAAGAACCAGCA